ATTTTTTTATCGCTGTATTTATTTATTTAATTGTGGCACTTTATATTAGTGACGTGGTTTTAATTAATGAATGACACATTTATTTATTTAATTTCACATTTAATTAATTATTGACACATTTAATTATTTATTTAATGCTGTATTTATTTATTTAATTTTGGCACTTTTTATCCTCCATAGACTTTACCCCATCTGCAACATTTTATAGACAAATTTTTGACACATCTTTAACCCCTATGTTGACCTGACCCAGTCTCATGTCTATGTGTGGGTGTGAGGGGGTGTGTGTGAAGACTCACGCTTTCAGCAGACTGTGGTCTCTATTGAGATTGTGGCTCAGCAGGTTGGTGGCCAAAGAAAACAGCTCCTCACACCACAACTGTAAAAACACATTTACCTTAAACTTTACAGGCTTCTCTGACTCTCACAGAGGCCCAAACTAGTTGTTTACCTTGGCTTCATCCTCCTGTGAAGCGATGAAGTTCAGTTGGCCGACATTCACCAGGTCAGAGGCTGTGACCACGGTAACCATGCGGTTCTCCAGGCGGCCAACAAGGTTTCCCACATCCAGCAGCTCCCGCAGCTTGGCTTCCTGTTGGTTGGCATGAAAGAGAAATGCAATGCATTGGTGACTGTAGTGACAGTGTTCCATCTCAGCAATGACACTGAACACTTCAAGCAGCTTCATGTCCTGCAAAAAATTGAAATCTAAATAAGTAATTTTTTCTTATAATTAGTGCATTTTTTTCTTTAATTGAGAGGGTAAGTGATACACTTTTCCTATTTGTTTTAAATAAAGACTCTACATAAGACCAGCTGTTTTTTTCAGAATATATAATATATAATAGCAGTAAAAGAGGTCTAGATAAAAGATATTTCGAGACATTTGGAAGTTATGCTATATATTGTTTCACAAAGAAATCCATAAGGACACAGTAAAGTAAAACATGAAAGAATTTCTAACACTTTAACATTATTTGTTTTGCCAAACAATCTTAACTTAAAATATCAGACATGTATCATCCATCCATCCATTCATCAGTCATCCATCCATCCATCCATCCATTCATCAGTCATCCATCCATCCATCCACCCATTATCCATCCATC